CCTGCCCGTGCTCTGTTCACTTGTTAAATCCAGTCTGATCCTGTTTGCCCTGGAACTCAAAACAGACCTCCTGGGTGCTGGGATAACAGGTGTGTAGCCCACCCATACCTGGTTATCTTGGAGCTGTTTTTTGATGTCTGTCTTTTAGCAGCCCCGAAAAGTAGCGGGAATAAACATATATGGTCAAGTCATCAGTTAAGCTTTAAGCTATACACAAGCTCTTAAAACATTTTTAAAGACTATTTTTATATTTTTATTTATGGGTATGTATGCTTGTGTGTGAGAGTGTATGCCACATGCATGCCAGTGCCTGCAGAGGGTAGAGCTGGAGCTAAAGATGGTTGTAAGCCTCCTGCCATGGGTGCTGAGAGCTGAACTCGATGACTCAGGAGGAGCAGCATGCGCTCTTAACGACTGAGACGCCTCTCTGGCCCCTTAAAACGCTTGTATTTCTAGCCATTAACTGAAATCAAATGAAAAAACTGGAAACCAAGGCAGGTTAGGTGCGGTGGTGGCCCACCTAGCTAAGCACCAGGGGTTGGAGTCCAGCCTGAGCTACACAGCAAGTCCTCACCTGAGTAGAGGCTCTGGCTACAGTGCTGGCTGCTGTGCGGCATGGGCAGCCATGTCACTGCCAGGGAGCGACAGTGGCAGAGACAGGCAGATCCCTGGAGCTGAGGGGAGGGTGAAGGGTGGGGGGGGGGAGTGGGGGAGGTCAGCCATTCTCGCTGACACAGTGACAGAACAAGAGCAAGTCCGAAAGCACATGGTGGAAATGGGAGAGGAAGACACCTGATGGTGACCTCTGACCTCCACACGAGCACGGACATGCACACCGGCACTGAAGTGCACCTACACACGCACCCGACAGCAAAAAGGAATGGGGTTTTTTGTTTGTTTGGTTTGCTTTGTTTTTGTTTTTTGAGATAAGGTTTCTCTGTGTAACCCTGGCTGTCCTGGAACTTGCTTTGAATTTTTTTTTAATTACCACCAAGTTAAAAAGTAAAATGGAGATTTCTTTCTTTCTTTTTTTTTTTTTTTTTTCGAGACAGGGTTTCTCTGTGTAGTTTTAGTGTCTGTCCTGGATCTCGCTCTGTAGACCAGGCTGGCCTCAAAGATCCGCCTGCCTCTGCCTCCCGAGTGCTGGGATTAAAGGCGTGCGCCACCACCACCTGTCTGTGCGTTTTAGTACCTGTGAGACTAACCTAAAAACTCCTTCACGCACCACCGTGTAGTCTTCCTGCAAGTACCCACCTAACTTTCTCCGTTACATAGTTTTGTCTTCTGAAGATGACCATATAGAAGTTGAGTGTGGGACTGGGGATGTTGCTCAGTGGGTACAGGACTTGCCGTACAAGCATGAGGACTGGGTCTCCAGCACCCACGTTGATATTGGGGAGCATGGCAGCCCGCCCAGGATCCCAGTGCTTGGGTGGTGGAGGAAGGGCTGCTGGATCTAATCAACTAGCTGAATAGACAAGTCCCTGATCAAATAAGAGCCTCTACCTCGCAGCCTTCTTGGATGGCTAATTATCAACCTGACAGGATCTAGAATCTTCTGGGAGAGTGTCTCTCGATAATGCAACGAGGCCGTGAGGGATTATCCGATCAGGTTGATGGATATGAGAGGACCGTCTTAACTGCAGGTGGGACCATTGCCTGGGCTGGGGAACCTGGGCTGTGGACAATGCGGACTGTGATCAGGGCACTGATTGCTTCGTTCTTGACTGTGGATGCACTGGGACCAGCTGCTTGAAGTTCCTGCCTCCTTGACTTGCCCGACATGATGGACTGTACCCTTGAACTGTAGCCAGAATAGACCCTTTGTCTCCTGTTGCTCTAAGTGGTTTTTTCTTAGAAGTTTTATTGTAACGTAAGAAAAGAGAAGCAGACAGAGCTCCTATGTAACCCGAATGGGTCCTGAGAAAGGATTGTCCTTCAGTTGCCTTTTTTTTTTTGAGACAGGGTTTCTCTGTGTAGTTTTGGTGATTGTCCTGGATCTCACTCTCTAGACCAGGCTGGCCTCAAACTCACAGAGATCTGCCTGGCTCTGCCTCCCGAATACTGGGACTAAAGGTGTGCGCCACTACCGCCCGGCTTAGTTGGCTTTTATCAGAGCATCTTATCATAGCAAGAGATAAGGAACTAAGACATTTCCATACACACATGCATGCTTGTGCCCCCACATGCATTCAAGCATGCATACAAACATACATATCACATACACACAAATTGGATGTGGTAGTGCATGCTTTAATTGTAGGAGGCTGAGGCCTGAGGGGCAGCACAAGGTTGTTGCTCTGCAGGCCGCCACCCCTTGCGGTGTGCTACATAAAGATTTCTTTCTACTGGAATTAAAAACAACAACAGTAACAACAACAACAACAAAATCCCCAAGAACAATGAAAAAGAAATGTCTTATATAGAATCATACAGTAAGTAGGAACCTCGGGGCAGCTTTATTCAGCTAATAGCTTTTTGAGATTTGCCCATGCCATGTGCATCCACAGTTCATCCACAGTTCATTCTTGGTTTGTTTGTTTTCTTTCTGGTCCTGGGGACTAAACCAAGGCCTTGTACTTGCTAGGCAAATGTCCTACCACTGAACTGAATCTCAGACCAGCCCATTCCATCTTATTTCTGATGGAAATCCATCATACAGACGTACCTCATTCATTCTGCTATTGAGGTCTGTTTGGAGTGTTTTCAATTTCTGGTGGTTATGAATAGATTTGCTATAAATGTTTATGTACAGACTTCAATGGGAGCATGTGTTCTCATTTCTCTAGGGTAAATACTTAGGAGTGGGTGTGTTGTCATACAGTAAATGAGTGTTTATCTTCTTCTTTTTTTTTTTAAGACATATGCTCACTATGTAGCCCTGGCTGGCCTAGAACTCATTATGTAGACAAGACTGGCCTCATAGAGATCCTCCTGCCTCTGCTTCGGAGTGCTAGGATTAAGGACACCATCATGTCATGTCCAGAAAGGAATGTTTATCTTAATAAGAAATTGCTGGGTCAGGGGTATGGGCACACACCTGTAATCCTAATACTTGGAAGGTTGAGGCAGGAGAATTAGCAGTTCAGAGTCATCTTCAGCTAAGCCAAGTTTGGGCCCATCCTGAATGAACTACACGTGAGACTCTGTCTCAAAACCCTATCAAACCATACTACATCACACCAAACCAAACCACACCAAAACCCAAGCCCTTTTCTACACTGGTTGTACCATTTGGCATTTTTGCTATCAGTTCACTGAGACCTAGTTGTCTTGCATTTCCATCAGTATTTGTTACTGTCTGGCTTGTGTATTCATTTACGTTGAGTATTGCTGTTGTGTGCACAGTGCCATATTGCTCCTGTGGATGCCAGAGGGGCAGCTTTGTGACATCACTTCTCTTTCTACCTCTATCTGACGTCTGGGGATGGGACTCAGGTACCTTCATTTGCTGAGCCATCTCTACAGTGCCTCGTTTATTATTATTATTATTATTACTATCACCCTTTAGTTATCTACGGTTAATGGTAACACATTGGTTTGTTTACTTATTTTTAAAAAATTTTTTTTTAGATTTTAAAACTTTTAACTTGTGTGTATGGGTCTTTTACCTGCATGTATGTCTGTGCACCATGTGTGTGCAGTGCCCATGGGAACCAGAAGGGGGTGCTCGTTAGATTTCCAGGAACTGGGAGATCCATGTGAGCCTCCATGTGGGTGCTGGGAATGGAATCCAGGTTCACTGTAGAAGAGCAGCCAGTACTCTTAACTGCTGAGCCATCTCTCCCGTTCCAACTGGTTTCTTTCTTTCTTTTTCTTTCATTTGTTTATTTATTTATTAATTTATTTTTGGTTTTGTTGAGACAGGACTTCCTTATGTGGCTCTGGCTGTCCTGTAACTCCACATGTGGACCATGTTGGCCTTGAACTCAGAGATCTGCTTGCCTCTGTCTCCCCAGTGCTGGAATTAAAGCTATGTGCCACCACAGCTGGCAATTTGTATCTTTCTTTCTTTTTTTTTTTTTTTTTTTTGGTTTTTTCGAGACAGGGTTTCTCTGTGTAGCTTTGTGCCTTTCCTGGAACTCACTTGGTAGCCCAGGCTGGCCTCGAACTCACAGAGATCCGCCTGGCTCTGCCTCCCAAGTGCTGGGATTAAAGGCGTGCGCCACCACCGCCTGGCGGTTTTTGGTTTTGTTTTTTTTTTTTTTTTTTTTTTTCGTTTTTCGAGACAGGGTTTCTCTGTGTAGCTTTGCGCCTTTCCTGGGACTCGCTTGGTAGCCCAGGCTGGCCTCGAACTCACAGAGATCCACCTGGCTCTGCCTCCCGAGTGCTGGGATTAAAGGCGTGCGCCACCACCGCCCGGCCGGTTTTTGGTTTTTTGAGACAGGGTTTCTCTGTGTAGTTTTAGTGCCTGTCCTGGATCTCACTCTGTAGACCAGGCTGGCCTTGAACTCACAGAGATCCGCCTGGCTCTGACTCCCGAGTGCTGGGATTAAAGGCGTGCGCCACCACCGCCCCAGCTGCCCAGGCTGTTCTTAAGCTTGAGGAGCCCCTGCCGCTTCACTGGCATTAGAGCCCGCCGCCGCCATCCTTTCCTCCTCCTCCTCTTTTCAGAAGTTTTCTCTTTGTTTTACACAAAAACATTTAAAGGAATCTTTCGTATCTTCATTACAAAGCACCTTCCCTGTAGAAATCTTGAAGAGTGACTGTAAAGCTAGAATGGTAAGTGTAACCCCTCTGTCAGTGCGTGAGTACGGCGTTGGTGGTGACAGACAGCTCTCCAGTTCACTCGTGGACTTCCTTTTCAACATTTGGGGGTGAGGTGGAGGAGGAACCCGTGGTTTTGCACATACCGGTGTTGAGCTATACCTAGCTCTCTCTTTGAACGTAAAAAATAATTAAATGCAGTTATGTTACTTATTTTAACCGGTAGTCTTGAGATGCAGCTGTGGTCAGCTTGGTCTGATTCCCCTCACTAACCCTTCTGTTTTCATGACTAGGTGGAGAATGTGTACCCTCAGCCTGGCTGGGTTGAAATCGATCCTGATACTCTCTGGGTTCAGTTTGTCACCGTAATAAAAGATGCTGTCAAAGGTAATAGGATTTACAAAAAGACTGTAGTCTGCAGTGGACTCTTTCCTGATGAGCTTTCCTCAGATTTGGGGAGAATTTTGTGGATTTCTATTTATAATATATATATGAAATATACACAAACTTACATAATATATATAGTCTTTGATATTTTGTGTGTTACTATATCATTTATCATATATATGATACATATAAATATATGCATACAAATATATATATAAACACATATTATATATCATTTATCAGAGTATTATTTTATATATGGTCTTTATATTATATATCATTTATCATATTATCACATGTATACACATATATATGATTTTATATATGTAAAATATATATAAAATATTTTGGAGGAAGTGTTAGTTTCCCAGTATTTTGCTGGAAGATTTATAGTTTACAGTCAGCTACGTTGTCAAGGAAAAGTAACAGCAGCCCTGTCTCCGTTTGCCCCTTTTCCGATATAGGATAAATAAATGCCCCAGGTTACAGCTAGGGCTCATCGGGTTCCCTGGTGGCTGCAGCATGCAGAGGGTTAGAAACCGTCACCATGCACTGTTCCGTCTTCACCAGTCCACGACCCCTTGACCTTTATTGCGAGATAACTGGTTTTTCCTGCATGGTCCCCTGGTGCAATGTGCTGGGGTCACACACCCGTTGTAACACTTGACTCAGCTTGAGCTACTTAGGAGATCCTGTCTTGAAAAAGAAAAAGAAGACCATCTGTTGCACGAATCCTAAATGGTCTTATAATGAAAACTTGGAGCCAGATATCAGGGTGAAAGCTGAAAGATCAGAGAAGCAGAGCAAGCCACAGCTACCACCTCTTACCTCACCAACCCCTCAGCCTGACAGAGCCTCTGCAGGAGAGCAAATTGCTGTCTCCTCCTGCCTTATATTCCCTCTCTGCCCAACCATATCACTTCTCAACCTTCCTAGTGCTGGGATTAAAGGTGTGTGCCACAGTGGCTAACTCTGTGGCTGGTTCTGTCCTCTGATCTTCAGGCAAGCTTTATTTCTTAGATTACAAATATATCACCACAACAATTGGAGATGGTTCAGTTGTTAAGAGCACTTGCTGCTCTTTCAGAGGCCCTAACTTGGCTTCTCAGCACCAACATCCATGGCTTACCACAGCTTGAACTCCAACTCCAGGAGTTTGGGCCCTTGTGGCTCTGCAGGTACTGCGTTCACACTCACACACGTTTATGTAATTTCTTTTTAAAGAAGAAAGAAGGGGAAACACTGTGTTTAGTGTAATGTTTAAGAACGCTGCAAATTCTGGGGGACTGGATTGTTTTGCCTGTTTGTCTTTTTAGTTTTTATTTCAGAATCTACTTTACCAATTGCAAGAATAAAGGGTTGATGGATAGCTCAATGGTAGAAAATATGCTTAGCATAATGCCCTGTTTTTGGTCTTGGCAAGGGCCGTACAGTGAACATGTGTACACTCCTCGGCTAGACTGTCAGTTAGGTTGTTAGTAATGTTATTAAACACTCTGACCCAAATCAACTTGGGGAGGAAGAGTTTATTTCATCTTACAATTTAGAAGTCCGTCCATCATCATTCAGGGAACTCAGGACAGGAACTCAAGGCAGGAACCTGGAGGCAGGAACTGAAACAGAGGCCATGGAGGGGTGCTGCTTACTGGCTTGTTCATCTTTCCCTAAACACCCAGAACACCAGCCCATGGAAAAGTACCACCCACAGTGACCTGGACCATCCCACACAAATCATTGATCAAGGAAATGCCCCACAGGCTTGCCTTTAGGCTGATCTGATGCAGGCATTTCTCAGTTGAAATTCTTTCTTAGGTGACTCGAGCTGTGTTAAATCGAGAGACTAACCAGTGTGATATAGAAACATAGTTTTGCTTTGTTTATGGTTCTATGCAAAGTCCCCTTTCTGAGCTCTTTGGCCAGTTGTGATGTACGCCGTCACACCTGAACATTACAAGATGACCCTATAGGAAAGGGGTACCTCCTATGTGACTAACATACAGTCCTCACATTCCGCAAGAATACACATTAAAACTACTTTCTAGTACTCACTCTTCAGGATTCTCTTAAAAGGTAACCTTAGCCGGGTGGTGGTGGCACACACCCTTAATCCCAGCACTTGGGAGGCAGAGGCAGGTGGATCTCTGTGAGTTCAAGGCCAGCTTGGTTCTACAAAGTGAGTTCTAGGATAGTCAGAGCTATTACACAGAGAAACCCTGTCTTGAAAAACAAAGCAAAAAGATTACTTTATTTTCAGTCTGGAAACCAAGCATGTGAGGCATTTCATGTAGCTATTGGTCTGTTCTGTCCATCTAGAGCACACTCTTTTTGAGATTGACAGTTACTTTTTTTTTTTTTTATTTCGAGACAGGGTTTCTCTGTGTAGTTTTGGTGCCTGTCCTGTATCTCGCTCTGTAGACCAGGCTGGCCTCGAACTCACAGAGATCCACTTGGCTCTGCCTCCCTAGTGCTAGGATTAAAGGTGTGTGCCACTGCCACCCGGTTACATTTTTTTTTTAAGGATGTATTTATTTTTATTTTATTTGTATGGGTGTTTTAAATCCATGTATGTCTGTACACCAAGTCTGTGCCTGGTGCTTGTGGAGGCCTGAATCATTCCCTGGAACTGGAATTATAGACTCAAGTTGTAAGTCTCCCTGTGGATGCTGGGAATCGAACCCGGGTCTTCTACAAGAGCAACTGTGCTCTTAACCACTGAGCCATCTCTCTAGCCCTTTTTCATTGACCTTTTTCAAAAGGACAGGCCAGTATAGTAGACCATTCCTTATTTTGAGTTGTCTGATTCCTCATGATTAGATTCAGGTTGAACATTTTTGGAAGAAATACTGTATAGGAGGTGATACATTTTTCTCAGTACTCACGTGAATTGATTCTAAAAGAATATTACAAGCTGAATTGTGGTGACGTGCCATGTAATCCCAACGCTGTGGGGGTTAAGAAAATCGAGGCCAGCTTGTACTACATAATGAAACCTAGTTGCAAAGGAAAAAAGGACATAACAAAAAAACCACATCTCTGTCTCAGGAGGCAGAGGCAGGTTGATCTGTGTGGCTTCAAGGCCACTCTGTATTCTGGGTCAGCCAGAGCTACATAGTCAGATCCAGTCTCAAAACAAAACAAAACAAAACAAAAACCACATTTCTGTATTTTAGGAAATTTGATTCAAAAGGCTCATGTTTTGGTCTTGTGAGGTAGCTTGGTGGTATACAGTGTTTGCCCAGCATGTGTGAGGCCATGGCTTCTATTCCCCGCAGCACAAAAGACAAACAAAAAATTTAAAAACTGTTTAGGGATAGTGAGATGGCTTCGTGGGTAAAAGCACTTGCCACATGCAAGCCTGGTGACCTAAGTTTGATCCCTGGAACCCATGGAAAGGTTGAAGGAGAGAGATGTACCATGGCATGTGCCCCCCATCATATAACCTCCCCCCTCCTTTCACAACAAAACAACAGCTTAGTGGTTAAGAGTGCTTACTACAGCCGGGCGGTGGTGGCGCATGCCTTTAATCCCAGCACTTGGGAGGCAGAGGCAGGCGGATCTCTGTGAGTTCGAAGCCAGGCTGGGCTAGAGAGTGAGTTCCATGAAAGACGCAAAGCTACACAGAGAAACCCTGTCTCGAAAAACCAAAAAAAAAAAGAGTGCCTACTACTCTTCCAGAGGACGCGAGTTCAGTTCACAAAACCCATGTTGGGTGGCTCACGACTGCCTGTCCTGGGGTTGCCAGATCCCTCCTGGGCCTCCTCAGGCACCTGCACACATGTGGTATACACACAGAGATGGATAAAAATAAATCTTTGCAAAGTAATAACAAAGTAACAACAACCAAAGCCATAATGTTAACTAAGTGTGGAGGTCCATGACTTACTCCCAGCACTCGGGTTGCTGGGGCAAGAGGATTGCTGTAGGGCTAGGTGATTGGTTCTGGGCCAGCCTGGGCTACAGAATTAGACCTATCTCAGAAGAACAAAGCAAACAAAAAGAAAACTCATGTTTTTATTTCTATACTTAACATCTGTTTGTGTTGAAAAATACGATCTCAACTTCAGCAGTTACCCTAATTCCCTGGGGGTTTCCATGCAGCAGAGTCAGTCAGGCAGCTTCTATTATAATTGGTTATTGCCTAACTAAGATTCAGGTTTTTAGGATTATCAGAAAAAAAAAAAAAAAAAAGCAAAAACGGAGTGTGACTGAAACGGTGTTTGTTTTTCTGTGTCATTTAAACTTTCAAAAGGGTGGTGTTTTTATTAGTATATCTTTTTTCCTTTTAAGTAAAAATAATGCAAAATTTACCTTAGTAAGACTTTGCTTATTAAGCTCAGACATCCTGGTTAGAGATTCCGTACTGTATTGTTACACAGTTCAACTTCGCCGGCTTTTTAACATGTCTTATCTGTCTTTACCTTTAGCTGCAGGAGTACAGATGAGTCAAATTGTTGGTCTTGGCATGTCCACGCAGAGAGCCACTTTCATTACGTGGAACAAGTAAGTGCTTTGTGTGGCCTGCACTGCTTGGGGGAGTTGGCGGCTCAGGGAACCTGTCCGGGGAGTTTTCAGTTTGTGAATGGAGGACTGTTGTGTTTGGCTAAGAGAGATTAGAATGCTTGTCATCTGAATTTAACTGACATAAAATGAGAAAGAAGCCCGGCATGGCACCCACTTCAGTAGTACATATAGCGAAATCAAAACCATGCAGAAAACGAGGCGGCAGAGTGGAACATACCTACAGTTCCAGCACTTGGGAGGCTGAGGCAGGAGGATTCCTTTTGGCGAGTCTGAGGGCAGCCTGGGCAACACAGTGAGTACCCATTTCAAAAGAAAACTTGAAATCACAGTAAGGAGATGAAGTTCTCTGTTCCTCTCTTTTGGGTAAGTTGACTTTCCCAGTGAACATGAAGGTCTGAAAAACTCGCCTGAACTTGCAGCGAGTCAGAGGTCCTAACAGGTATCAGACACACGGCTAGCGTAAGACGATGCTCTCCGATTAGTGTGTAAGTCTCCGCAGGTGTGTGTGTGTGCGTGTGTAGACACAGTGGCGACACCGTCATAGCTTCCGAGTGGTGGCCGCCTTTGCTGTTCCAACTTCATGTCAGTCTGGACGACAAACCCAGGAAGAAGCCGAAGCGAAGATGTTAGTAGGTTGTTCAAGGTCCCCCAGTGACTAGTGGGATTCCAAACCAGCTTCTGGCTTGGCGTTTTTGTTTGTTTATTATTTCACCTTTTTTTGAGTGCTGGGGATTGGCTCTAGGGTCTCAAGGGGCCAGGCCAGTGCTCTGCCATCGAGTCGCTTCCTTAGCCCCAAAGCAGTTTGTCTTTTGTTCGTTTTTTGTTTGTTTGTTTGTTTGTTTGTTTAGCTTGTTTTTTAACTGTGAAGCCTGTTATTTTTAAACACTACCATCTTGCCTTCAATAGTTGTGGGTTTTTTTTTTTTTTTCTACTTTTAAAACAATAAAAAGGGACTGGGCACAGTGGTAGCATGTGCCTGTTGTCCCGGCACTCAGGGATCTGAGTCTGGAGGATTGCTTAAGTCCAGGAGTTCAAAACCAGCCTACCATTGCAGAGAAACATGTCAAAATGAAGGGAGAAACAAAACCATAAAATGGTTTTTTGAATCAAAGCTCTGGACTCTGTCGGATGTCTTGAGCTTGGGCAGTCAGGCCAAAAGGTGACAGGAAGAGCTGAGCCTGAAGCTAGAATCGGGGTGAATTCCCAAGGATCTGGCTTTTGATTCTGTATTAGGCCAGAGGAAGAAATGTAGCCAGGCTTGGTAGCTCACACCAGTAATCCCAGCACTTAGATGGCTGAGGCTGGAAGACCCTACTACTAGTTCATGGCTAGCCTGGGCTATCTAGTGAAACCGTGTCTCAAAAACAAACAAAAAACCATAATACTGAATCAGTCCGAGTGAGCTGCAGACCCAGCCTGTGGCAATTTGTATCGGGTGATTCTTTGCAAGATGGTGATGTTTTATGCATTGTAGATGTCCCGCCCCTCAGGACAAACTCACATGTCTCCAGACATTGTAAAGCTGCTCTCACTTGAGAATTGCCAGCAGAAGTCTCCAGAAGCAGACATATTATCTCTGGTAGACACTTAAGTGGATGAGAAAGAAGCAGGTCACAGGTTTACGTTGAGGTTTTCTTCCCTCCCGTCCTTAAAGAGATTCAGGGCCAGGAGGATGCCTGACAGTGCACTACCAAGGCAGATGTGAGAAGTATATGATGGGGAGGTGAGGCTGGAGAGTTCCCCAGGAAGGGATTTGCAGGAGATAGCCCTGTTGGTCAGAGTTGGAGATGAGGTCATTGGTCCCTTAAATTGTTTTCATCAGACCCAGGCTGCTCTGTCATCCCTGGCCCCTGGCAGAAGGCAAGTATTAGGCAACAGTTTTTCTGTGACAGTGGGGCAATACTTTAATTTTAGAAAAAGCAGGTCAGGCTCTGGGACAATTCAGTTACTGTACTGGTGTAGCAGTCAAACAGTTTATTGTTTGTTTTCTTTACTGTCCTTCTTTTTCTATCTTGAAATGTTTATATTTTATGAATTTTGAAAAATTTGGAAAATTTTTTGCAGGCAGAATCTGAAATATGAACATGTTTTAAAGAAATGTTTATGTATAGCTGGGCAGTGGTGGCGCACACTTTTAATCCCAGCACTCGGGAGGCAGAGGCAGACGGATCTCTGTGAGATCGAGGCCAGCCTGGTCTACACAGTGAGTTCCAGGACAGGTACCAAAACTACACAGAGAAACCCTGGAAACCCTGTCTCGAAAAAAACAAAAAGAAAGAAATGTGTACGGCCCCATCCTTGTTTTATGATGAGATAATGGAGTCTTATTCTGCCCACTGGGCAGTAGAGAACCATTATGTGTGTCCTGATGGCAACATCCACCCACTCCCCATAAATGGCAAGATGACCCCAGATTAGATAGCTCAGAGTGAGCAGGAAGTACGGCCTGTTCCGCTGAGAGAAAGACAGACTGGGACCCGTGCCACAGTCACTGTTCGTTCCAATCTGGTCAGCACCTTTCCTTCTTGTCGTCCCCCCATGTGCACACATGCTTATGTGAGCACACATGTATAGGGGTCAAAGGTCTTCCTCTGTTGGTCTCCACCTTAGTCTTGAGTCGGGTTTTTCACTGAACCTGGAGCTGACCAGTGGCTGGACTGGCTAAGAAGCACCAAGGGGTCCTCCGGTCCCTGCCTCTCCAGCTCTGGGATTACAAGTACACACTGCGTGTGGCTTGTTGCCCGCTGGCCGTCTCCCTGGCTCTGTAGCTTTGTTTGAGATAAGCTTTCACTAAATAACCCAAACTGCCCTCAGATTTGTGGTAATCCTCTTGCTCACTCTCCTGAATTCAGAGATTTTGGGTGTGAGACATCATGTTGGGCTTTGCTTTTTTTTTTTTTTTTTTTTTTTTTTTTTTTTTTTTTTTTTTTAACCATAGTGCATTCCTGTCTTCATGGCCTTAGAAACTGATTTTCCTTATGGTGTTCATATCCAGAAGTTTAAAACTTTGAATTTCATGTTTTCTCCTTGAGCTCCCCCCTCATACTCCCACAAAGTCAGGAAGCTCAGTGTTAATGTTTTTCAGTCCCTAATTTTTTTCATATTCTTTGAGCTAAGCCTTTTTTTCATGTTTAGTCCACAGTGTACTTAGCTTGCTTTCTGCAATAATTGTAATTCGGATTTCCTCCATTTTGCCGCTTTTGAGAAATCACGACTTGTTTGTTTCTTCAGTTGCCGAGGGAGTCTCTCGGGGAGACTTTGCCAGCCAACCCCAGATCAGGGTGTGTGCCAATTAGCAGTGTAAAATGTGAGTCACACACTGGGATCACTCAGTAACTCCTGAGGTTCTCAGCCAGGAACTCTGTGCTGCTTGCGGAACTGGATACAAAGGGGATGCCCTCGGGGGATTTGTATTGGCCGTTACCCTATAGAAATGGCTGTCCCGAGCCAAATGTGGCTGTTACTGTAGCATGTGAGGTTTGTGTTAATGGTTATTACTAATTGTTTCTGACACCAAGCTACAGAAAGGGGTAGAGTGTTACCAGGATTCCGTTCGTTTATGATACTGTCATTCACGGTCCTCTCTGTTTCCTGCTTTTATAGAGCTGAAACTAACCTAGTTCTGGGGTAAATGAATATTGGAGTATGTGCCAATACTTGAGATCAGCTTCTCGATTGTTTTGTAGCGTGTTTTGAGTTAAGCCCATTTCCGTCTTGTGATTTTTCTCCTCTTCCGTCATGTTAGCCTTTCAGCGCTTCTGTGCTTCACCTACCGTGGGACCGTTGAACACTTAACAGCCTCTCCGTGGGAGCTCTTACCTCCTGGTTGATGCTGTGGTTCCGGGGAGCCAATTCCATTGTCCTTTCTCAGTGAAGCCTTCCCTTCTGACAGGCGACAGGCGGGTTGTCCCTAATGTGATACTCAAGTGCTTGTATTTCTCCTTTGTGGGGCTTGTTCCTGTTGTCTGTAAGCGATGGGGTGATTGTTTATTTATTCGAGTCTCATGGTAAAGGTAAAAGTATATTCTCCAGAGCAAAAGTGCCTGTGTTCTGTTCACCTCTCTATCTCTATCTTCTGAAACTAACACCTTCAGAAATGTTTGCTGAAACCAGTAAGTGACTAGGGGTATGGGCTGCCCAAGTGAATGGTGGAGTGATAGTATTAGGAGCTGAAGATGGTTAAGTTGATGATGCAGAAAAAGACACAGAAAAAGACCTGTGCTTGGACAGAAGAGGTCGGGACTGGAGCCTGCAGCTCCGGTCCCAGGTTCAATCTCCAGCACTGTAAAAATAAAAAAATTTTAAAAAATTAAAAAAGGAAAATATTAGCACACACCAGCGGGTAACTTGCAGGAGCCTCAGAAGAAGACAGCTTTTTCTTTCTGTGTTTCTTACCTCTGTACTGTTATTGTAGTGTTGACCCAGGGTTTGCTAGATTTTTCTTTGCTTTGCCTTGTTCTTTTGAAGAGAATGATGTAGCCCAGGCAGGCCTTGAACTCATCCTCCTGCCTATTCAGTGTTCCTATTTGTGTTAGCCATCACCACTGGAAGATAAGTAATTTTGGATGAGGTCTCACTCTATCCTAGGTAGACCAGGCTGGCGTGGTATCCCTTACAGTCTTCCTGCGTTAGACATTCTAAATGAGATTACAGGCATGTGTCACTGTGCCTGGCTTTGAGTTTTCTATTTTCTTTCTTTTAAAAATTTTTATTATTGGGAGTTGGACCTCTGTTTGATTCTCAGCCCCCATATGATGGCTAAGAATCCCATAATACAGCTAATGAACTCCAGTTTTAGGGGATCGATGACCTCTTGTGGCCTCTGTGGGCTCTGGGTGCATGTCGTATGCAGACATATGCAGACAAAACACCCGTACACACAGATAAGATGAAATATTACTGCGCGTGTGTCTGTATGTGTGTGTGAATGTGTATGAGTGTGTCGCCGTGTGTCGCTGTGTGTGTGGAGGCACTTTTGGGAGTTGGTTCTTTACTTCCACAGTGCGCTCTTGACATTGAACTCGGCTGCTATCGCTTTTACCTGCCCAGCCATCTCGATAGCCCTGGACTTTTCTTTACTGGACACAATCTTGATAATCATAATGGATACCAGGTTCTAAAGCTGAGGGAGATGGAGAGGCTGAGGAGTGCTGGAGATCGCCTGTGGGTCAGACGTTGATACATGATTGTATCGGGGTGAGCTGAGGGAAGGGGACCCATGGGCTTTTTGTTTGTTTCATGATTTGTGAAACAAAGAGTCTTACTATGTAGCGCTGGCTGACCTGGAGCTCCCTGTGTAGACCAGGCTGGGCTAGAACTCGGAAATTTGCCTGCCTCTGCAGTGCTGGGATTAAAGGCATGTGGGACCATGCCAGACCTATTTGCTTTTTAAAACATAGAGCATATCTCGAAGGCCTTTTCAGTAATTTTGTTGTTGAAAGTGTACATGTTACATTGTTTCAAAAGGACAGTCTTTCCGGTAAAGTCTGTTCAAAATCTGATACTATATGTTACATAATATTTCTTGGTTGGGCGGGGGCTTGGCTTATGAAACAAGGTCTCTGTGTCCCAGGCTCGCCTGAAACTCAGGGCCGCCTTCCTCCTTCAGCCTCTCAAGTGTGGAATAAGCCATGATCCAGTTAATGTCACAGAATTGTATGTCACGTGTTCAATTTATGAAAACCAGAGAATTCAATAGAAAGTTCCATCTACTTGATTGTATTTTGAAATTATAGTGTATCTTTTTTTTTTTTTTAATTGTTTTCTCTTTTGGTAGTTTTTTTTTTTTTTTTACGGATTGGACCTGGGGCCTCACACATTCTAGCAAATGTCCTGCCAATATCCCCAGCCCTGTGTGGCAGACCTTTAATATAGTATCTGATTTATACTTTACTATTTCTGTCTCCCTTAGGAAAACAGGACATCATTTTCACAACTTCATTAGTTGGCGAGACCTAAGGGCAGCTGAGCTTGTAAAATCCTGGAATAATTCTCTTGTACTGAAGGTAATTTTTAAAATCAAATGTTTTTATTTTTTTCTATAAATGACTCTTAACTGTAAGAGTCCCCTACCTTTTGTTTTAGGACATTAAGACTAAAAGAGTCAATCACATATTTCCCCCAAAAAAATGAAAGGTAATGCTAGCCCCAAAAAGCATTTGTGGTAGATTTTAGTGCTTTCTACTGACCCTCAGGAAGGCTGGAGGGGGGTTGGGGTGGACCTGTGTTTCACATGATTAAGAGAATTCATGTTTCTGCCTGGGAAAAGGGAAAAGGTTTAGACTACATGGATTGAAATGACCAATTTACATCATCGTTTCTAACTAAGTGAATGGGTATGACATAGCTAGCCAGCAGGCTTTCACAGTTCTTCACATGACACCCTGGTGCATTGTGGGCCACCCGTAAAGGGTAGTGACTGTAAGCACAGTAAGAACAGCGTGTCCTGGCCGCTGTCACGTTATTTCTGTAAGTACCCCACACTCCCAAGTGTGCTGTTACTGAGGGAAAAGATGAAGTCGTTTTCTGGCCCCTCCGACAGGATGCAGCCTGCAGCATGTGGTGCATCCTGCAGCATTCGGTGTTATTACCGATATTCAGTCCTGATGGTGTTGACTTCTGACGCCCCGTGCTTAGATGCCTTCTTAGCTACAGTAGTGTTCTGAGTGGGTGCAGGAAGAGTGTCTGGGGAGTTACAGGTGGGCCTCCACATCCTCATGACATTTGTGTTTGTGCTGGGGATCAGAACTTCAGTCTTCTACGTGTACAACAAGCACCCTCACCCCTGAGCCAGCTCCCCCTCGTTTGCTTTAACACGGGGTCTCCGTTGTAGCCCCTGACTTAGAACTCGTTATGGTGCCCGGGCTGACTTTGAACTTGTGGTCTTCCTACCTGTCTCCCAGGTACTGAAGTATGCACCACTACACCTGACTCCATGTTGTGTTTTCGTTTGTTCTTAAAAAGTATTTTTTAAAGACTTATACGTTTTTGTTTTATGTGTCTGAGTGTTTTGTCTGCATGTATATATGTCTGTGCACCACATGTGTGCCCAGGGCCCACACATGTCAGAAGAAGGAGGTGAATCCCCTGGAGCTGGAGTTACAGAAGATGGTCAGCCACCATGTGGGTGGTGGACCCGAACCCAGGTGCTCTGCACGAGCAACAGATGCTCTTAACCCTGAGCCACCTCCCCAGCCTCTGTTTTGTTTTGTAGCAAACTATTTAAGGGCTAGAGAGATGACTCAGAGGTTTTTTTTTTTTGTTTTTTTTTTTTTTGTTTTTTTTTTTGGTTTTTCGAGACAGGGTTTCTCTGTGTAGCTTTGCGCCTTTTCCTGGAACTCACTTGGTAGCCCAGGCTGGCCTTGAACTCACAGAGATCCGCCTGGCTCTGCCTCCCGAGTGCTGGGATTAAAGGCGTGCGCCGCCGCCCAGCCAGCCTGTGCTCTTAACCTCTGAGTCACCGGGCGGTGGTGGCGCACGCCTTTAATCCCAGCACTCGGGAGGCAGAGCCAGGCGGATCTCTGTGAGTTCGAGGCCAGCCTGGTCTACAGAGCGAGATCCAGGACAGGCACCAAAACTACACAGAGAAACCCTGTCTCGAAAAATCCAAAAAAAAAAAAGAACACAGGCTACTCTTCCCACAGTTCCTGAGTTCAATTCCTAGCAACAACATGGTGGCTCACTGCCCTCTTCTGGGTATGTAGGCAACATGCAGACAGAACACTGTATATGTATAAATAAATAAATCTTTTTTAAAAAAGAAAGAAACTACTTAAGCTGGACACTGTGGCACAGGACTTTAATCCCAGTACTTGGGAGGCAGAAGCAGCTGGATCTCTGTGTTCAAGGCCAGCCAGGACTACATAGTAAGACCCTGTCTCAAAAAATAAAAAATAAAAGTGGGAAGAGAAAAAGAAAATCAAGTACCACTAAATGTGTTTTCTTAAAAATATCTCTTGTTTTTAAAACAGCTGTTGCACGGAGCCTGCCGAGTCCTTCACTTCTTCAGTAGAAGTAAACTAATGTCCACAATCAGTCGCTTCAATTTCACCACCCAGCATGTCACCTTGAGATTGGTCTGGATTCTACAAAACCTGTCTGAGGTAAGAAAAGATTGTAAGTGTGAAGAGGGGATCATGACGGCGGAGAAGAAAAAGCCGAAGAGTAAGAAGAACAGTAATCGAGCTGTCTGGGGGGAAACGAAGTACTCGGTGGTGATACTGATGTGGAAGACAGCCGTCCTCACTTGGTTCCTGTGTTTAAAATCTTCGTCTTCTATCCTAGCACATGTAGGAGGGTGGGCACAACCGAAGTGTGCCAATCAGTGGTGTCTTGTGGAATAGACGTCTGTGTGGCACCACCTGAGTCAAGTGCTGTGATACAGCTGGGCATGATGGGGCATACCTGTAACCCCAGCAATTGGAAGGCTGAGGCAGGAGACTGACAATTAGTTTGAAGCTGGCCTTGGCTACATTGGGGAGATGATGATGGGATGACATTCATGAAGGGGAAACACCCTACTGCCTGCCAGTTACCTGTTAGTCTTCTAGTGAGTGTGTGTCCTGGCCTGTGGCCTTCACTCAGCTCTGGGTAAGTCAGGCATGCTACAGGAGACTGAACTAGGCTCAGGTAAAACCAAAGTTGGTCAGGCTCTGCAGAGCTGATGTTTTTGTTTGTTGGTTTGTTGTTGTTGTTTTTGATTGCAGACCAATTTTAAGGAGTACAGCACAATCTGGGTTTGTTTCACAGTGGTTACTTCATCCCCCCTGCCAGAAGCTCAGCCTCAAAGACGAGGGCCCCGGGCGTTCATTCTTGTCTTACATCCTGCAGCAGTTCATCAGCCGCTCTGTCGGCCTTCCTCCCTGGCTCCTACTGCCGGAGAAGCTGTTCTTCATGTTTACCTGTGTTTCTAGTTTTCAGGACAGCTGTTTGTCCTGTGATGTCAGCCCTGATGGATCAATGAGGAATTGAACACCTGACTCCTTCTGCCTCTACCTCCAAAATGCTGGGGTTATAGGTGTGCACTCCTGTGCCCTGATATTTTTTTCTGAATTAGAAAATCCCCATTGAGAGCCTAAAGGCTGGGTCACCTCGGCATTGTGCTCTTCTGAGTAGGAAGCGGGCATACCTTGGAGCCAGGGTCTGAATGGAAGTGAGACATTCAATTCTCTGTGGACTTTTTTGGTTTGTGGGGGAGTTTTGGTTGCGTTTCTTGGTTTTATTTTAGTCAAATTTGTCTGCTTTTGATTTCTTTAAAGGATAAGTGATGTATGTATGTATGTATCTGCATTTTAAGTGTAAATGCTTTAAAAAAATAGACGTTTATGTCTTTCTACAGCTGACAATCAATTCTGATGTCACTCTCCTCCCTTTCCCCCTCTTTCCCGCTTTTTATACCCTTGTATTTGTTCTAATAAATGGTTGCTTTTCAAAAGAGAAAGAAGGAAGGAAAACCTCATTGATTCCGGCCACCTTTGGCATGTGAAGAATGTTGTATGTGGGGCTCACTTTGGTGTCACACTTTACTGTAACAATCCTGAAAAGATCAGCATGCCCCCTGGATAAAATTTGATAAGCAAATTCATAAAGCATTCCATTGTTTTCTTTAAAGTTGCATATTGAAACAATTTTAGAATAAAAATTTGACCTAACAGTTCTAAGTAAGAAATTACTTTAAAATACTTCGTGTTTAAGTGGCAGACTCTGGAATGTAATCTTCAAAGTATTTGGAATAGACTCGGGTGTGGTGGTGTGTACCTGTTACCTGAGCATCATGGGAGATTGGTGCTGGAGGCTCATGTGAGCCCCAGAAATCAACTGGGCAGTACAGTGAGATAGATTCCATTTCAAAAACTAATCATGGTAGATACCTTCCAAATGACACTCATTTTGGACCATGTATCATTTTCCTTTCATGGATCATTTCTGTTACCAAAATGTAATTTCTTTTGTTTCCATTTGATGTTATTTTTTTTTTTTTTCGGTTTTTCAAGACAGGGTTTCTCTGTGTAGCTTTGCGCCTTTCCTGGAACTCACTTGGTAGCCCAGGCTGGCCTCGAACTCACAGAGATCCGCCTGCCTCTGCCTCCCGAGTGCTGGGATTAAAGGCACGCGCCACCACCGCCCGGCTTGATGTTATTTTTATTTCAGCTATTTACTTAAGTTTTTCTTCTTTAATTTCTGCTCTTTGCCCAAAAAAAACTCCCAAATGTGGGGGTTTTAAATATAAATGAAGAATACCCAGTCAATAAACGAGACCTTGACGCGAAAAAAAAATAAAAATAAAAATAAATAAATAAATAAATAAATATAAATGAAGATGGCTTAGTTGAAGTGCTTACCACACAGCAGAAGGGTCTGAGTTCAGATCCTGAGCACCCATATAAAAGCTCGGCACTGTGGCACGCATCTGCTGTCCCAGCACTGGGGTAGGCAGTGGAGACAGGCAGCGAGCGCTCTTGACCAGCCGGTCTAGCCCAATGGTGAGCTCCAGGTTCAGTTAGTGTAGTGTCTCAAAAAAAGTGGAGAGCCGTGGAGAAAGATAATCGTGTGTAGATGACGGGGCTGCATGTGTACAGACATGTGCCCACACATGTACCACACCTAATAAATATAAATAATAACTAAGCATGAATGCCCATGGGCATGTGGAAGTCCAGTAGAGAAGCAGTGGCCAGGACAGTGGCCACACGGGGGTCCCTGTAGGGTGCTGAGGAGTGAGTTAGAGGTGAGGTGGAGGGCAGCTTGGGCAGATGAGGACAGATGAGTTGAGGTAAACCATGTTTTAGGAAATTATTTTGTAGTCTACTAATGCTATCCAGAATTTCAACTTTTATATTACCTGGTTTAAAGGGATTCTGATACCTTTTTTCCCTTTGGCATGCTTTTGGCCTGGTGTTGGTACTGAATGGCCAGAGAATGCTGTTTTAGGTTCTGAGGACCTATGTCACAGCTGCTCAGCTGTTGCAGCTTGAACAAATAAACACAGCTGGATTCGAGTCAAACTTTACTTAGAGATTCTAAAATTTGAATTTCATATAATTTTTGTCATAAAATACATGTTTTTTTCAATATCATGACACAAATGCCTCACTAATTTTAAACCAACAATATTGAGTCTTCATAGAGAGTGTCGGAAGTTGCCAAGGCAACTGTCTGAGTTTAGGTCCAGTTGCTGTGATGACATACCCTGACGAATACGACTTCTGGCAGAAAGCGTTTATTCCAGCTCTGGGTTCCAGGTTCCAGTCCGTCAGAGCAGGGGAGCTGCATGGCAGGAGCTGGAGAAGGCTGGTCCCGTGGCAGCCTTCATCAGGAACCCAGGACAGAGAAGGCAGGAAGCGCTGCCAGGACTTAGCGCACTTTCTCTCTTGCTTTGGTGTTTTGGGTTTTTTGAGACAGGGTCTCTCTAATTCTGGCTGTCCTGGAACTCTCTATAAAGACCAGGCTGGCCTAGAAATCACAGAGATTCACCTGCCTCTGCCTCAAGCGCTTGGACTAAGGTGTGCACCACCATACCTGGTACTTTCTCTGTGTTTATAGACGGACCCAAACAGGGCATGTCGGAGCCCTCTTTTAGGCTGAGCCTTCCTACATCAGTCAAGGTAATCGAGACATCTCCCCCACAGGCACGTCCACCTAATCTAGACAGTCCCTCGGTGACACTCTCTTTACAGATGATTCTAGGCTGTGTCAAGCCGACAATGAAAACTATCCCATCAACTATAGCTGTTAGGGTATTTGAGTTTTCAGTTAATAGTAATTGCCTTGGATAAACCATCATCTATGATACTGCCATTCCTCAAAGCTTCGTTTGACGTTTTAGCCGTTAGGAAAGTGGGGGAACTGGAGAGATGATGGCTTGATGATCAGATGCACTTCCTGCCTTGCAGAGGACCTGGGCTCAGTTCCCAGCATCCATTTGATGGTTCATAACCAGCTGTAATTCCAGTTCCTGGGAATCCAACACTCTTTTCTGGCCTCTATGGATAGATTCCAGGCACATAACGCCCGTTCAGGCAAGCAAGCACTCATCCATGTAAAATAAAAATAGATCTTTAAAAATAGCTTAGAGCTGGAGATGTAACTCAGATGATTAAGTATTTGCTTAGTACAACCAAGGACTGGGTTCACTCACCAGCCCCAGAGCAAAGGTGTGTGTGTGGGGGGGAGAACAGGAGTGTAATTTAGTGCCAGAGCACTTGATTGGCCTGTCTGAAGCTTCATGGTCTATCCTTAGCCCCACAGAAACAAAACAAATGGTAATTAACATTTTGATCAAAGAAATAATACCCAGGTGTGGGCTTCCCACCTACCTATGGTCTGGCAATGATCCAGCATTCATCTACAGGGGATGTGTGTAGCATGAATCTTAAAGAGTCTTATTAATTAAACAAACCCAAGGCCAGTGAATGCTGGAAGATCAGAAAACAAGCCACAGCCACCTTGTCTTGCCAATTCCTCAACTGATCCTGTTTCCTCAGACTAGATGGCTCTCAGCTGAACCGTGCTGCTAGAAGCCTAAAAGCTTAATGAGCCTAGTTCCTGGTTTTCACGCCTTATATACCTTTCTGCTTTCTGCCATTACTTCCTGGGATTAAAGGCGTGTGTCACCATGCCTGCCTGTTTCCAGTGTGACCTTGAACTCACAGAGATCCAGATGGATCTCTGCCTCTGGAATGCTAGGATTAAAGGTGTGTGCGCCACCATTTTCTGGCCTCTAATATCTAGTGGCTGTTCTGTTCTCTGACCCTGGATAAGTTTATTAGGGTGCACAATATTTTGGGGAACACAATATCACCACAGATCTGTAAAGTTCCTCCCATTCCCTGGCACTTACACATCCATCTAGGCTGCAGTCATCAGGAAAGGGGGAGAAGGTGAGTGACCTTATAAAAAAACTATCTTAGGAAAATGATGACACAGACACAGACTGACAGGTTAGTCTTCTTTCTATCGCTTTCCTGAGAAGCCATTCAGTGCCCCGAGCTCCTTTTGATTTGATGTATGGAAGCCTTTTGTGTTGAGAACTTTTCCACTGCCCCTAGGGGGGTGTGTGTGTGTGTGTGTGTGTGTGTGTGTGTGTGTGTGTGCTCACACACACTTGTGCCCCATGTGGGTACTTGTGGAGGCCAGAAAAGCACATTGCATCCCCTAGAGCTGGAATTACAGGTGGTTGCGAATGAATTCTCTTAGCCACTGAGCTATTTCTCTCCCCTTCTTCCCTCCCTGTTTTTTTTTTTTTTTTTTTTTTTTTTTGGTTTTTCGAGACAGGGTTTCTCTGTGTAGCTTTGCGCCTCTCCTGGAACTCACTTGGTAGCCCAGGCTGGCCTCGAACTCACAGAGATCCGCCTGGCTCTGACTCCCGAGTGCTGGGATTAAAGGCGTGCGCCACCACCGCCCGGCTCCCTCCCTGTTTTTAAGTTTAAAAGTGTTGTTTTTTGAGAAGTTCAGACGAGTGCTACATTTATATCATTTCTACCCCTCCCTCTCTTCCCTCTGACTCTTCCCATGTCTTTTTCACTCTGTCTCAAATTCATGACCTCTTCTGTAATTATTATTATAATATACATTACATATACACATACATATAAATACATATATATGTGCATGTATTTAGAGCTCAGCACTTGGGATTAGATAACCTTTCAGGGGACTCGTGCCCAGAGAATACTGATTGTTCCTTTCTCGACAGCCAGCGTGTGTAGCTCTTCATCTAGGCGTGGGGACTGTGAGATTTCCCCCATCCATGTTGGCATACAGAGTGGTATTGCCATGCCGATCTTCCTCAGGTGACCTTATTGTTGTGGTTTCCTGGTGCAGCTGCCCTGTCCTGTATAGAAGACACTATCTTGCAGTAGATGTCTCCTCGGTCCTCTGGTTCTCTGAGTCTTCCCGACCCCTCTTCTGCAATGTTCCCTGAGACTTCCATGTGGGTCGTATTGTATCAGATGGGTTGTGCACACCACAGTCAGCTGTTCTCTCTGTATTTTGACCAGTTGTGCGGGGGTGGATAAACATTTTTTTAAAAATAGGCAATAGGTTGGATTTAGCCCTTGAGCCATAGTGTAATATTACTTCTTTAGGACATACTAGTATATTTGTGTATTTAAATTAAAAATACGCATGCTCTCTTTTTTTAAAAATATGTGTTGATGTAAAACTAAAATTTTTCAGTGGACCACATAGATGATAGGAGGTACTCCCTTCTAAATCCCATTCACTGATAATTAAAATCTTTTGGAATATATTCTAGAAATCATCTTTTTAGGTGCATTTTTCATAATTGAGATTACAGCGAATCCACTGATGTGTATTTTTTCATGTGCTTGATACTGTGGTCCGTTCGAGTTGACTCAATGTCGTTCTTGTCTCCCAGGTGCAGAAGGCGGCTGAGGAAGACAACTGCTGCTTCGGGACCATTGACACTTGGCTGTTACACAAGCTCACAAAAGGTAAGGGCCGCCTCACCGGCCTGTTGCAATTAATCAGAACGAGGCTGAGGGACCAGAGCTGCCTAAAAGACAATAGAAATTACCTCTACCACAGTTTTTTCTTCCCATATCCCAAATGCTCTGCTGTTTTGGCACACTAGTAACTGCATGTTGCAATAAAGCTAGATGTATTTCCTTTTTTTTTTTTTTTGGAAGAGGAAGACGGCTTAAAGATGCTGATGAAACTTCAAAGTCTAAGACTTGGGGAACAGTGTTGATTTCAGAGTGCTTAAATAAGACTCTCAGGTAAGATGGGGAGCTAGAAGCAGCACCCCCGTATGTGATAGTGAAAGAGTCAGAATAAGAAGAAACAGACTTGATTCCAGAGAGAGAAAGAGCTTCAGAAACCTACGGAGGAAATAGAAGGAAGCCCACAAGGGTAGAGACAGAGATGGACAGTGCCGAGGCTGAGCACAGCTTGGGCGCCACAGCTCCCCGAGAAGTAGGGGAAGGTTAGGCACGTCCTCAAGCACTGTGTGTCCCTTTCACTGACTCATAGTGGGGATGGAGCCTTCAAGAGCTGGCTGATTAAGAAAATCCCCAGGTAAAATGGGAGGGGCTAGCCAAATTGCAACAGAGAGAACCAAAGCATCATGATAAAGCAACGTGACTCCTTCAGAAAGACCATAACTTCTCAATGACTAAACTTCATCAAAGGCCGAGAAGGAGGTAAAGTGTGAGGTGAAGAGTTCAAGTTTATTGGTTAAAAAAAAAAATGATGGATGCCAGGAAAGAGGACACAAACAGGCAGATTAGTTGAATTCCAGGTCAGTACTTTAAAAGAAAACACCAGCTATCTGGATGACCACATGAAGGCAGAGTCCAGTAGGAAAATGGATATTCTGAAAAACAACAAATAGGAATGTTGGAAATGAAAAACTCAGTGAATCAAGTAAGAAATACAGTGGAAAGTTTCACCAATGTATCTGACCAACCGGAAGAAAGAATAAAAAGAACAGAGGGCAGAGTTCACGGAGTACCACAGCCAGACCCCAAGAAGGGGAAAAAAAAAGAACAAATATGACCACAACGTCCAGAAAATCTGGGGTGTGATTGCGAGTCCCAAGCTACACTTTCATGGGATAAAGAGACAAACACTAAGAAGCAGCATCTATTTGAAGAAATTATGGCAGGGAATTTCCTAAATCAAGAGAAGAAATGAATGTCCAATAGAAGGGGTGCTGAGAACCCCACATAGGTAGTCCATAGAAGAACCTTCTCATGGTTTAGTCAAAATGCCAAAACACAGAGTGAAGAACACCGAAAGCTGCCAGGAGAAAATGCCAACTCACTCACAGAAGCAGACACGTCAGAATGCCATCCCAGCCCTGTCAACGTCCAGCGTGGAATGATGCTTTCAGGCCCCGAAAGTACAAACTGCCAGCCAACAGTGCTGTGCCTGGCAAAGCTACCTTTTACAGATGATGGAGAAACAAGGACATTTATTTCAAGGACAGCCAGGCTCAGGCTGTCCTTGACTTTCAAGCCGGTGATACAGACGATGCATCAAGGAATACCGTACGCCGAAGAGGAAGAAAGACTCAATCATAAGAATACAGGAAAGAGTACATTTTATGAGAGGAAGGGATCAACAGAAGAGAACTAGGAAGGAATCCGTCTTGTCCAGCACAGTAAACCAGCCAGGCCTTAATACTGATGGGGGGCAGAAAGAAAAGAACAAGTGTGTGGCCAACCAGAGAAATAACTAGGTGATGCACCGTGGGAGCCAGTGGACAAGCTGCTGGAGTCAGTGTTCTCTGTCCACCGTGTGGGGCCAGAGGCAGGGTGGCAGACACATTTATTGAGTTGTGTCCTCAGCACACAGTGATATTCTTCATCACGGAACTAGAAGAAAACAATCCTAGCTGGAGATGGTGATGCATTCCTGTAGTCCCTGCACTTGTGAATCAGAGGCAGGTGGATCTTCGAGGTTCAAGACCAGCCTGGTCTACATAGCACGTTCTAACCCAGCTAGAGCTACAGCGTAAGACTCTGTTTCAAAACAAAAATAAAAATAACACAAGACAGCTGGGTGTGGTGGTGGCATGCCACCCATCCCATTTAATTCCATCACTCAGGAGGCAGGGGCAGGCTGATTTCCTTTAATTGGAGGCCAGCCTGGTCTACAGAGCAAGCTCCAGGACAGCCAGACTACATAGTGAGACCCTGTCTCAAATAAACAAAACAAAAACCACAGATTATTTTGGGCAGGAGAGATGGCTCAGTGGTTAAGAATATTTGCTATTGCTCTTCCAGAAGACCGGAGTTTGGTTCTCTATATTTCAGGTGGCTAATAATTGTCTGTAACTCTGGCTCCTGGGATCCCATGCCCTTTTCTGGCCTTTGTGGGCACCTTCATATATGTAGGCACATACACAGATAAAAAAGAAAATAAACCTTAAAAAGAAAAAGGATCTTAAGGCAAAATGCATCAGGATATGTTCTTGGCAAGGACTTTCTGGAAAGGACTCTATTAGCACAGGAATAATCCCAATAATTGATTAATAGGATTGCTCGAAATGAAAAGTTTCTGCACAGTGAAGGAAACAGTCATTTAAATAAAGAAACACCCTAAAGAGTAGGGAGTGGGGAATCTTTGCCACCTACACATCAGACCAGTGATTAATATCTGAATATTTAAAGAATGTAAAAATTAAACACAAACCCCTCAGTCATCTTAAGGAAGAAATAGAAATGCCCAATAGTTATTTTAAAAAGTGTTCAGTATTTTTAGTCGTGAGGGTAATGCACGCTGAGGCTGCTTTGAATTCCATCTTGCCCAGATCAGAATGACTGTCATCAAGAGGATAAATGAAGCCAGGTATGGTGGCTCAAGCCTTTAATCCTTGCATTTGGGAGGTAGAGGCAAGTGACTATGTGTGAGTTCAAGGCCAGCCTTGTCTACATAGCAAGTTCCAGAACATCCAAGGCAATAGAGAGAGACCCTGTCTCAAAATAAAACAAAAACAAAAACACATGAAGATAAATGGCAGCAAATGCTCGTGAGGATGTGGGAAGAGGAGCCCTTCTTCACTGCTGCTGCTGGGAATGTGAGCTTGTGCAGCCACAGTGGAAACCATCAAGGAGGCTTCTCAACAAGTAAAAAGACAATTACCATATGACCTGGCCATACCACTCAAGTATATAACTGAATGTAGATGTATCCAACCTTCTTATTAAATAATAAACACAGAACCAATGCAAAGAAGAAAGCCAAGAGGTCAGAGCTAAGAGCTAAAACCTTACCCTTCCTCCTGCGGTGGTCCTACCTCTCCGAACCAGAGCTACCCCTGTGTTAAAGTCTTTATATAGAGTTCCTGTCCTGCCTTCTCATTGGTTGTAAACCCAACCACATGACCGCCTCCTCACAGCCTGTCTGTATAGGCCTCCAGGTTTTCCATGATTGGTATTAAGATTAAAGGCATGTGTATCCAATAATGGCTGTATCCCTGAACACACAGAGACTTACCCAGCTCTGCCTACCAAGTGCTGGAATTACAAGCGTACGCCACCACTGCCCTGCTTTCCTATGGCTTGCTAATAGCTCTGACCCCCGGGCAACTTTATTTATTAACATACAAATAACATTTTAATACAAATAAAATATCACCATAACTGGAGGACTCTAAGCATGCCACAGAGACGCCTACACATCTATGTTTATTGTCCTATTTATATAGCCAAGAAAGGAAACCAGCCTCGAAGTCCACCAACACAGAATCAATACAAGAAAAATGTGGTGCAAACATAAAATGCTGTTTCTTTCAGCTGTAAAAAAAAAAAAAAAAAAGGAGTCATGACATTTGCAGGAAAATGAATGGAACTGGAAATCATGTTCAATGAGATAAGCCAAACTTAGAAGAAAAGATACCACGTTATCTCTCATATGTGGAATCTATATTTAAGTACGTGTGTGTGTGTGTGTGTGTGTGTGTGTGTGTGTGTGTGTGTGTGTGTGTGTGTGTGTAGGGGGGTCTGGGTCATTGAACCAGAGGATCATGGGAGAGAAGGAAGAGATTTTTAAGGGGTGGGAACAGAGGGTGGTGGAATGCATGTAACATCAAGTCCAAAGTGCCGTCTGTCTAGGGAAGGAAGGGAAAAGTTAGAATGGGTGTGGTGCATAGGGGGCGAGACAAATTAGCATAAAGTACAATTACGTATATGAAAATGCCATAATGAAACACATTGATTTGTGTACTAACTTGTGGTGATATTGTGTTCCCCAAAATATTGTGCACCCTAATAAACTTATCTGGGGTCAGAGAACAGAACAGCCACTAGATACAGAGGCCAGAAAATGGTGGCACTCACACCTTTAATCCTAGCATTCCAGAGGCAGAGATCCATCTGGATCTCTGTGAGTTCAAGGCCACACTGAAAACAGCCAGGCGTGGTAAAAAGAGCCTTTAATCCCAGGAAGTGATAGCAGAAAGCAGAAAGGTATTTAAGGCATGAGGACGAGGAACTAGAGCTGGTTAAGCTTTTAGGCTTTTGAGCAGCACAGTTCAGCTGAGATCCAGAGGTTTCCAGTCTGAGGAAACAGGATCAGCTGAGGAATTGGCAAGATGAGGTGGCTGTGGCTTGTTCTGCTTCTCTGATCTTCCAGCATTCACCCCAATACCCAGCTCCAGGTTTATTTCTATTAATAAGAACTTCTAAGATTCATGCTACACTAACTTAAAAAAAAAGTAATTTAAGGGACTGAAGAGCTGGCTCAGCTGTTAATTACCAAAGATCCACATGTTGGCTCACAATCATTCTGAACTCCAGTTCCAGGGCACCCAATGCCCTCTTCTGACTTCCAAGGGCACCAGGCATGCATGTGGTGCACGGACATACATGCAGGCGAAACGCTAATACACATGAAAAAAGTAAATATAACTTTAAATTTTGAAAAATAAATAAAACAGTGATAACACTGTACTTGGATATACTTTGCCGGTGTGTGTGTGGGGGGGTGTTGGGGCAGTTAACTTAATCTCTACACCTTTTCCCTTAAAACTGAAGATCCTAGCCGGGCAGTGGTGGCACACGCCTTTAATCCCAGCACTCGGGAGTCAGAAGCAGGTGGATCTCTGTGAGTTTGAGGCCAGCCTGGTCTACAGAGCAAGTTCCAGGACAGGCTCCAAAGCTACACAGAGAAACCAAAAAAAAAAAAAAAAAAGAAAGAAAAAGACAAAACTCAGGATCCTAAGGTTTTATCTACAAAATTGCTTTTGTAGCCTTCAAGGACTGGTAAGATGGCTTGACTGGTAAGGATGCCTACTGCCAAGCCTGATGACCTGAGATAGTCCCTAGAGCCCACATGGTAAAGATAACTGACTCCATAAAGTCATCCTCTGACCTCCATATGAAGACAGTGGTGTGTATTGGGAGGGGGACAGTGGCTGGTGAGACACCACTGCCAAGCCTGAGGACCAAATCTGATCCCGGGACCCATGGTGGAGAGAGAGAGCAGACACTTGAAATCACCCTCTTGTCTTCACTGTGTACTGTGATTCATACACACACATACATAGTTGCAATTTAGAGAATTTTAAATAGAGTCAAAAACTATAAAGGTTCATAAAGATTTGGTGGGAATTTTCCTGGAAACTTGAATGTAGCAAACATTCATTTTAGGATGAATTTGAAGGTAGACAAAGGTCTAGATTGTACACCAAGGTTAGATGATTTATATTACCTGATAATAAATGTGTTATTTCTAATGTAAATTTAGGTTCTTCGTATGCCACGGATTATTCAAATGCCAGTACAACTGGATTTTTTGATCCATTTGGGGTAAAGACTTTTATCTTCTTTTTTGAATCAGCAGTTTTTTCTGTAATTTAGGCTAGATTCTTTTTTTAACTGATTGTAGTTAACAGTCCTGTTTATTGTGTACAATGGGATGTTTTGCGGTGTGGGTAGAGGTGTGAAGCATTCAAGCTTGCATGTCCTGACGCCATATTTTCATGCCCAGATGTGTTGGAGCAAGCTCATGGCCTCCATAGTTTCCATACCGCTCTCTATCCTGCCTCCTGTGAAGGACACAAGGTAAATGTGAGCATCAGACACAGACCTATAAAACTGCCTTTGAAATCTTTTTGCTTTGGTGGGGAAGGGATGTTTTGTTTTGTTTTGTGTTTTGTTCACACGCTTGCTGCCTCTGTATCAGTTCTGTAACGCTGTGGCCTGTGTGAAAAGCAGTTTGCTGAATTTTTAGAATGAATATGTCCAGAGCAACAATTAACTCTTCCATTCATCTTCTTTGAAGCCATAATTTTGGATCAGTGGATGAAGAGATATTTGGTGTGCCTATACCAGTTGTTGCCTTGGTAAGTAAACGACATGGGGGTAAAAACTAAATGAATATGTCTGAATAGTTGGGAACTGGCTTTAAGAGAAATAAAGGTCTTCGGTAGACTAACACTAATGCCTGAGCCAGGTGTGGCGGCTCATGGCTTTAATCCCAGTACTCAGGGGCACAAGAAGACAGATCTTTGTGAGTTCAAAGCTGACCTGGTCTACATAGCAAGTTCTGGGGCAGCCAGGGCTATATAGTGAGATCCTACTGTTCTCAATGTTAGCGTTAGAACATTTGCCACTATGTGCCAGGCTTGGGTTCAATGTCAGCACGGAAGAAGAAACAGACATTATGCCTACTAGTTCTTTCCTTTCTTTCAAGTTGAAAGGGTCATACATATAATGGGAAGCATCCCCTGTATTCTGGGTGGAGGACCGCTGGCCAATCTTCTACGGTGGAAGTACTCTGTAACCATTTCCAACTGTTACATTTTCTAAAGATACTGTGTTCTGAGTAGTATTTTACTTCTGTTGATGCCACAGTTTTAAAAGCAGTGAGGGGCCACTGCTTAGATTACATTTCATCACAACAGCCCAAACCAGTAATAAGGAATTGATATTAGAGGAGGAAGTTGTATTTGGATTACAAAATACAACATCCAAAATACAAAAGTTGTATTTGATTACAAAACCCTTAGCATGCAACTGCCCGGGTAGATGTCGGTATAAAAATGAAATAATTGCTGAGGATAGGTTTAGTGTTAGATTAAGGTATCGCTGAGATTAATTTAAAAGGGGGGAATTATTTATTTTGTTTTTTAAAGTAATGTGTTGATTTATAAATGCTAAGGTCTTATTCTGTAGCTTGGGCTAGCTTTGAATTCTGTGCAAGCCGCTTAGTCTCCGAAGTGCTGGGATCGCATGCATGTGTTCCCCTACCACGGTGCTTTAATTTTTAAATTTGTTTGTGGTGGGGACAGGATCTTGTTATCAGTTCAGGCTTGCCTCTAACTTAATATCCTCCTGTGAGATTCTCCAGTGTTGGGGTTGTGTGTTCAGCTATGTTTGGCCTCAAAAAGGTTTATTTATCTCTTATTTTTTAAACATACATTTATCTCTGTGTGTGTGTGTGTGTGTGTGTGTGTGTGTGTGTGTGTGTGTGTGTGTGTACATACCATGGCATGCATGTAGAGGTCAGGTCAAAGGACAGCTTCTAGGAGTTAGTTCTCTCTCTCCACCGTGTGGGGTTCCCCAGGATCAAACTCAGTGTCGGGTTTAGTGGCAAATACATTTATCTGCTGAGCCATCCTGCCAGCCCTATTTTTTTTTTTATTTTTTTTTATTTCTTTGTTTAATATGGTGCTAGTGACCATGACCGTGTGCAGACAAGGCAAGTGCTCTGCAGTGGTGTGTGCTTAATAGTCCCAGCTACTCAGGAGGCTGAGGCAAGAGGGGAGGTCTAGGCTGCCCTGGTGAGCATGGCAGCCTGTCTCTACAAAGAATAAAAATAGAGTTCTGAGTGTGACTTAGTGTGGAGAACTCATCAGCACATGTGAGGCTTCTGGATTGATTTCCATCGCTGTAGGAAGTTAAATGAGCAGCTTTATGTGTATTTACATGTAGCCATCATAGCAAAATTAAAATCTTTTAAAATAGGAAATACAAGTTTAGGCCGGGCAGTGGTGGTGCACGCCTTTAATCCCAGCACTTGGGAGGCAGAGCCAGGTGGATCTCTGAGTTGTCAGAGGCCAGCCTGGTCTACAGCGGGAGTTCCAGGACAGCCAAGGCTACACAGAGAAACCCTGTCTTTAAAAAAAAAAAAAAAGAAAAGGAAATACATGTGGTTTAAGACTTCTGACTTTATTATAACCTCTGTCACTCTTAGTACAAGAGAAGTTCGTGAGATCTTGACAAATGAGTGAAGCCCTCTAAGATGAAAATGAAAAGACAGTTTTTTGGAACAATTTTATGCTGACGTTCCTGGAATTACTCGTGAACGAGATTGGCACCAGTACCCTTTAGACCAGTCAGCTGCCCGAAGTGCTGTCCAGAGAGACCCTGAACTATGCAACTGTTGTCTTTGGGGTTTATTTTTAAATTAAGGAAATGGCTAAAAAAAAGCAAGTGAAATATGTAATCGTGAGACTCCTGTAAACGGGAACTGGACGATACTGAGTAAGTGCTGGTAGAGTGTGCGTCTGACAGTTGAACACCTTGGCAGGTTGGTGACCAGCAGTCGGCCATGTTTGGAGAGTGCTGCTTCCAGACAGGAGATGTGAAGTTAACCATGGGAACCGGGACATTTTTGGATATTAATACAGGAAACAGCCCTCAACATAGTAATGGAGGTAAGTAATCAGGATGTATCTTGTTCCTAAGATAAAATTATGCTTGTGTTTCTTTGTGATGTATATACGAATTCACACACACACACACACACACACACACACACATACACACACACACACTTTGTTTTTCTCCTCAGGCAGGGTTTCTCTGTGTAGTTTTGGTGCCTGTCCTGGATCTCACTCTGTATAGACTGGCATGCACCACCACCACCACTGCCTGGCTCTAATTTCCCATTTTATGTTAAGGATATTCTTTGATATATTATTATTATTATTAGAGATAATTAATTTCCATTGCCTTTAAAATAATTAAAAGAATTAAATTGGCAGCATTAAAAATAAAGATGTTGCCGGGCGGTGGTGGCGCACGCCTTTAATCCCAGCACTCGGGAGGCAGAGCCAGGCGGATCTCTGTGAGTTCGAGGCCAGCCTGGGCTACCAAGTGAGTTCCAGGAAAGGCGCAAATCTACACAGAGAAACCCTGTCTTGAAAAACCAAAAAAAATAAAAAAATAAAAAAAAAATAAAGATGTTGCCAGGTGGTGGTGGTGCACACCTTTAATCCCAGCACTTAGGAAGCAGAGGCAAGTGGATCTCCCAAGTTCAAGGCCAACCTGTTCTACAGGGCAAGTTCCAGGACAGCCAGAGCTATATAGAAAAATGTCTCGAAAAACCAAAAACCAAAACCGAAAGCCCCAAAGTTGTTAATAGAAAAAAATGTTAGATGGATTATGCTATTTTCAAGTCTAAATCTTTCTTTCTCTGATTTATTTATTGATTGATTAATTGATTTATTTTGATGTTGCTAATGGGGAATCAAACGCAGGGCTTTACACATGCTAGGCAAGTGTTGTATGCCTCGGGAGACAACCCTATTTTCTTTTTTCTATGCACTAGAAACTTTTGGGGGTGGTAATTGCCAACTATTGATGAATATGTGTTTAGGGCCTTTTTAGTTTTTTGAAACCGAGTCTCATGTAGCCCACACTGGCCTTGAACTTGCTATGTAGACAAAGATGACCTGGAATCGCCGATCCCCTTGCCTCCACCCCCCCACCACCACACCCCCGACGGTAGGATTATAGCTCTGCCACGATGCCTGGTTTAGATGGTGCTTCAGATGGAACACAGGGCTTCGTGTGTGCTAGGCAAGAACTCTTCCAGCTAAGCTACATCCCCAGTGTTGTCAAAGATGCATTTAAAAATCATTTTCCCAGCCTTCCCTCTGCAGCCTGGGCCCTTTTCCCAGGCTGGCAAGGGTCAAAGCTAGAAGGTGGTCACTGTATTTCACTGTCCTGACTTAGGACTTTGCTGGAAGACTACAAATAAACACAATAGTGTAGTTGGTGTTCTGGCACAGTTATCTCTAGTAACCTTTATTTTGCAGTTCAGATGCTCATTGCCATGTGTGTAGAGACATGGATGTACCGGTAGGTATTAAAAGCTAATAGCCAGGGGCTGGGGATATAGTTCAGTGGTGGAGTATTTACCCAGCATGCACCAGACCCTCAATTCAATTGCCAGCTCCCGAACCAAGACTAGCCATCCACCAGCAAAGCAAAGAAGAACAAAAGCAGAATGTGCCCTTCACATTTCTTGTACATACTGTATTCCAGGCACTGAGCTTGTTCCTTGATGCGTTAACTCTGTTTAGGCCTACAGCAGCTCTCTGGGGTAGGCCTCATTTCACTTGGAACAACCAAGGCTGAAAGTCCAGAAGCCTTAAGATCATACCTAGTGAGGGCTGGGATTTGAACTCAGGCGGGCTTAGTGCGTAAGCACTTGGTGGTGGTTGTGTCATCAGACTCTTGTGTTATGGACTCTTGTGTTGTGGGTGGTGTTGCAATTCATGGTGTGTTTGCTGTGTGACTTACTGTTGGTTTGCTTGTTTGCTTTCTAAGGCTTTTATCCACTAATTGGATGGAAGATTGGCCAAGAAGTTGTATGTTTAGCTGAAGGCAATGCAGGAGACACAGGCACCGCTATAATATGGGCTCAAAACTTAGGTAAGTCATTGCTAAACAAAACCCACAGGCCGGACTTGGATTTAAGTTTGCCACAGGTTTTAGATCAATAGATGAAGAATGGACCATTCAGATGAGACACCAAAATAAAGTAACATGTACTAGGAGAAAATATAGAATAGTATTTAAATATATTTTTTCAAATATTGGGTTGGTTAAGGCTAGGTATTAAGGCTAGGAATTTAAAGGAAAAAGAATAAGCTATAGTCTGAAGACTTTATCTAACTATTCTTTATCAATAAAAAATCAGGAGCCAGATATCAGGGTAAGAACCTGAAAGATCAGAGAAGCAGCAGAGTAGCCACCAGTGACTTCCTATCTCTTCACTTTCTCCATCCAAAAAGGGCCGAGATCCTCTCTCAGACTCAGCTTACTATTTCCTGTCTCCTGTCTGTCCTCAGTCCACCAAAACCTCTATGGTTAATTTTGGCCAGCGAATGGCTAGCTCCGCCCTGATTCCAAACAAGCTTTATTGTCTGAATATGATCAAAATATCACACAATAGTCATACATGCTTTTTATTTTATTTATTTATTTTGTTTTTTCCAGACAGAGTTTCTCAGTGTTGCCCTGGCTGTCCTGGAACTCACTCTAGACCATGCTGTCCTCTAACTCACAGAGATCCACCTGCCTCTGCCTTCTGAGTGCATGCACCACCACACCCAACTCATACACTCTTTTAATCCTAGCATCTGGGAGGCAGAGTTTAAGGTCTCTTTCATTACATAGCATATTCAAGACCAGCATGAGCTACATAGTAAGATCTAGTCTTGGAAGGAAGGAAGAAAGGAAGGAAAAAAAGAGATGTAAGCATCTGGAACACCAAAATGTATAGGAAGAGCTATGCTGCAAGCAAAATAAAAGGACAAAGGGATAAGAACCATTAGTAGCAGCCAGGCATCGTGGCGCAGGCCTTTAATCCCAGCGCTCGGGAGGCAGAGGCAGGTGGATCTCTGAGTTTGAGGCCGGCCTGGTCTACAGAGGGAGACCCTGTCTCAAAAAACAACAACAAGAGAACCAACAGTAGCAGATGTCAGCGAGATTAGTAAACGACAAGGAGCAAGCCAGCTGGTGGTAATCCTCTAAGTCCAGCACTGAACAGGCAGAGACCGGAGCATGGACACCAAGTTTGAGTTCAGTCTGGTTTATATAGCAAGTTCCAGGCCAGCTAGGGCTATAGTGAGACTTTGTCTCAAAACAAAAAACAGAAAAACCCAAACAAACAGAAGTAGAAACAGGTGGCTGGGTAGATAAAGATGCTTGCTGCTGCTGTGTGGCTGTCCTGGAACTCTGTCTAGACCAGGCTGGCCTCGAACCCACAGATCTTCCTGCTTCTGCCTCCCGAGTACTGGACTAAAGGCCTGTGCCTCCACCCTTGGGATGTTCTCCTCTTTCTATGTTCCTCTGTCTCTCTCCACTCTGTTTCTGCTTCTCTCCTGGCCATGTCCAGTCTGCTGATCATGTCTGCTTCCTTCTCTCTGCTCTGGACTCTTCCAGATGCCTCTGGCTGTTCCCTCATAGCCACAATTAAAACCTTCCCCTTAACCATACCATGGAGTGGTCATTCCTCAGTTTATACAAAAGCCACTTTAAAAAGAAAGTTTAGGGAGCTGAGAGATAGTTCAGTGGCTAAGGACACTAGCTGTAAGGTTAAAAAGTATTTTGAAGTTTAAAAAACTTTAGATTATCAGAAATTTTATACACACACACACACACACACACACACACACACACACACACACACACACACATATTTAGTTAGTTAGTTAATGCTTTTCAGTTTTACCCACAGAGGTAGGAAGAAAAGCCTAGACTATTTAATTTCACATTCATTGGAGTTCAAGTTCCATGTGACACCACACACTCATTTCAGAATTTTCGATAGTTGAGGGAGCTGAAGCGGGTGTGGAGCCAGCTGGGTGTGCTGTTCCTGGGGATTCTCTCAGGGAGAAAGCCTTTTCGGGAGAGCCAGGACCCTGACCTTGAGAGGCAGCAGGACTCCTGGCTCAGATTGGAGACAAGCCCTTCCTGAGGCCAGTCCAGCCTCTGGCAGGAAAATGAAACAATGTTTCAACCAGAAGAGCAGATGGTCCGTTGAAGATTTACCATTTACTTTCAATCTGCCTGTAGCTAATACTTGGTCTATTTGTCAGAAATCCACATAACAAGTAAACATTTATTTGATGTACCCCTGTCTGAGAATTTTAATGAGTACATTGAAAAAATCCTAAACTGTATTCTGGAAAATGGCTGGTCAGACTGAGTAGCCCTGCCGTTGTCCCAGGCTCTCTCCACACAAGCATACATCTTTTTTGCTGCCTCCTCCCTCCCTTCTACCCTTAATGGGAAAGCTCAGAATCAGGTGAAAAGGCTGTTTTAAGTCAGTCTTCAAACTGGGTGTGATCACACACACACACACACACACACACACACACACACACACACACACACACACACACCTCAGCAGGTTCTGGGCCAGCCAGGGCTACGTAGAGACCCTGTTATCTGTCTTTATTTCAAGTTTGTTTCTTCCTTTTCACAGTTCTCCACGGGCCTTCTCTAGACCCTGCTTTACTCCACTGTCCTCCCCTTCCTCAGCCTGTCTTTATGATTTCAGTCTTACGAACATTTCCTATCTGTGAGCTTTGGTCCGTTCGTAAGTAGGTGAGTGGTTGGGAAGAGCCCAGAACTGTATGTTGGACGGTAAGGGTGACTGGACCTCCTGCCCTCATGGCAGTTCCAGTCTCCAAGAGAGACATACATTAAGTGTAAATTTAAAAAATGCTAATGTTGGTGCAGTGGTGTGTATCTTTAGGCATAGCTACTGAGACAGGAGGATTGCTTGAGCCTAGAAGTTCTTCAGGGATAGCCTAGGTTGTCATAAGAAAGTAGGTCCATGAGGTGTGATGGGGCCAACCATGACATCAGCTCCCTGGAGGATTATTTCAAATTTGAGACTACCCTGTGCTGTATAATGAGCCCCTGGCCAGACAACCAGGAACTGCCTAGTGAGACCCTGTCCATGAAAATGATAAGTAAATCGATGGGCTGGGTATCCCTAGCGTGTTTAAGGCCCTGAGTTTAATTCATTGCAAAAAAAAAATTTAAATTTAGAACACATACTTACATATATGTATTTACAATCCATATATATCAGTGTTAACTTTTAAGTGGAGCGGCAGAGTAAGTGCGGGTTGTTTTCTACAGGGAAGGTCAGAAGGCTTCTTTAAAAGTGGTTAGGCTGACTCGGGAAGCAGAGGCAGGTGGACCTCTGAGTTCCAGGCTAGCCTGGTCTAAAGAGTGAGTTCCAGGACAGCAAGGGCTATACTGAGAAACCCTGTCTGTAAAAAACAAAACAAAACAAAAAAGTGGTTAGGCTGGCTGGGGCAGTGGTGGCGAATGCCTTTAATCCCAGCTCTCTGGAGGCCAGCCTGGTCTCCAGACTGAGCTCCAGAGCAGCCAGAGCTGTTACACAGAGAAACCCTGTCTTGAACAAAACGAAACAAACCAGAAGTGGTTAGGCTGGATGCAGAAGAAAGGTTAGGCCCTTGGTCAGGTGGAGGAGGCCTCTGGTCGTGGTCCAAGCACTCAGGACCACTGTGGCAGGAGAGTCAGAGGAAGAGCATGCCCGAAGGTCCTGTTTCTCTCCTACAGTGGTGGCAGTTCTCAGCTCCTCTGTCCTCAGCTGACAAACGTCAGGGGACGTAGTTCTTAGCAGGATCACTTGTAATTGCTACTCCTAGTCACATCTGCCTGCCCCACGCAGTCCTCATAAGACTTCTTTGTAAGTACACATTCTGAACTGTTTACTTGGAGTAAATGGCTCCTGCTCTCTGGCCCCTTCCTGAGAGAGATAAAGTCTACCTCATTAGAGGAGGGACATTTCTTTGTTTTTATTTTTTGTTTGCCTATAATCTCAGCACTTGAGAAGGTGCGAAGAAAGAATGCTGTAAGTTCCAGGTCCGCCTGGGTTAGACTCAGACTCTCCTAGCTAGGTTTCCGCTGCTGTGATAAAACACCGACCAAAACCAACTAGAGGTTAACTGGGCTTACACATCAGATCACAGCCAACCTTCGAGGGCAGTCAGGAACCGTGGAGGAAGACTGCTTGCTGGCTTGCTTCCCATGGCTTCCTTCACTCACTTGCTTATACAACCCAGAAACCACCTGCCCAGGGGTGATGCCACCCACAGTGGGCTGGGCCTGTTCATATCAATCATTAATCAAGAAGATCCCCCACAGACAAGCCCACAGACCAGTCTGATGGAGGCTGTAATTCCCACAGACCAGTCTGATGGAGGCTGTAATTCCCACAGACCAGCCCACACTCCAATCTAGTGGAGGCTGTAATTTTCCACAGACCCATCTTATAGAGGCTGTTCTTAAATTGAGGTTCCCTTCTCAGGTGGTTCTAGCTTGTTTCAATTGACAAACACTAACCAGCACAGAGGCCCTGACTAAAAACAAAAATGTAAAACTCTTTATTTAGTTTATTTTTATTTATTAATTTATCACTATTTTTTAAGGCAGTCTCAATGTATAGCTTTGATTGGCATGGCATTTACTATATAGTCCAGCCTGGCCTTGAACTCACAGTCTTCCTGCATCAGCCTCGTGAGTACTGGGATGACAGTCATGCACTGCCGTGCCTGGATTTATTTTACTGTTTAAATGTGGAGCATTAACGTGGTCCCCAAAGCAGAGCTGTGTAAGTAGGTGTACCAAGAGATGACTTCTGTCACAACACCCTGCCTCCCTGTGTCTGGTAGGTGATTACCTCACAGCTCCCGTTGTTGGGCTTACACAAGCACCTCTACTAATTGAGACACCTTGCTGGCCCTCCTTATTTTAAAAACTTAGGTGTTAGTGGTAACAAATGTTCTGAATTCTCCTTCCTTGGAGACTGTGGGGTTTTGTTTTTGTTTTTCGTTGTTGTTCTTTTTCTGAAGTTTAGTTTTTCTGGATGTAGAATTCTGGGACAA